GAGATCTGCCTGCCTCTGCCTCCTGAGTGCTGGGATTAAAGGCACATGCACCACAACCACTCGGCATGAGAGCTTCTTTCTTCAATATGCTTTATACATATGTAGGCTGCCACCAGAAGTTCTGGCCCAGGTTAAAGGTGAATTTTTAAAAACTTTTTTATTGATTCTTTGGGAGTTTCATATCATGCACCCCAATTCTGCTCACCTCCCAGTACAGTTCTACCAAATCCTGCCCTCACCCCTGTAGTTACCACTCCTACCAAAGAAAAAAAATACAGTAGGCAAGTAAGCAAACAAAACAAGAACTAAAGAAAATAAAATGAAATGAAAAACAAAACAACAACAACAACAACAAAAAGCTCTTTCTTTTCCCTGCCTCTCCAACACCTTTTTATTTGTCCTGTAGGCATTGGAGGCCTCAGTGTGCCATATGGTATACCTCCGTGTCCTATCAACTTTACTAGCAAATGTTCATTGCAATGAGTAACTAGTCTGGTTCAAGGCCTCTGGTTTCCTGGTACACTATCATCACTGAATCCTCACTGGAACTCCTCTGGGATATCCTGGGATATTCTGTGGCCATCCCAAGACTTGGATACCCTGTAGGTAAGGGTAGATGATATGGTGGGCCAACCCAAGACCCTGCTGTGGATCTGGGTGGTAGCTAATTTGGTCAGTCCAGGACACTGGTGACAGCTGTCTTGGGAGGGGGTGGTTATGTGGGATAATACTGATTGGTATAGGTGGGGCTACCAGACTAGGAGAATTCTGGGAAGAGGAAGGCAGAGAGCAGTCACCAGCCATATGCAGAGGAAGCAAGACAAGAATGCCTTTCTGAGAAAAGGTACCAAGTCACGTGGCTAAACCTAGATAAGAATTATGGGTTTATTTAAGTTGTAAGAGCTAGTTAGTAATAAGACTGAGCAATAGGCCAAACAGTTTATAATTAATATAAGCCTCTGTGTGTTTATTTGGGAATGAATGGAGGTAGGACAGAAGCTTCTGTTTATGGGGCAGAGTCAGCTGTCCTCAGGGACCGTTCATCCCTGGCTGTGGTGAGGGATGGAGCTATCTCTCTGAGTGCTCTTTTGCTGTAGTGTCCAGCGAGAGGTAAGGACAGCTTTTCCAGGGATAGGAAAGGGTGGGGCCCACTGAGCATGAACCTCTGATTTCATCTCACATAGTTCCAGAGGCCACCTGAGGTATATGGGCCACAGATATCAACACAGACCCCAACTGCAGTTGGACCATGGACCCAGATATGGCCTTTGGTAGTCGCTTGGGATTGGATGACATCCTGGCTCTGGGTAGAAGCAATGGCCACTCAGGTTGGGATGGTTCTGATGGCCCTTAATGGCCTCAGGCTCTGGATCTGGCTTGCATGCTCTTCATCCTTAGGATCAGGTGTGCCCAGTTAGCAATTCTCTAACTTTACTGTTCTGGTTGAAATCAGGAAGGCACAGTGGCATTCCCTGTTCCATGGTGGTGGGTAAATTTTTCTAAATAATTTTCTTGTTTAGAGATATGACCACTGTACACATTTGTATTCTTTACCAAAGCCCACACAAAAATTT